ACTACTACTACTACTACTACTACTACTACTACTACTACTACTACTACTACTACTACTACTACTACTACTAGTGCTGCTACTACTACTACTACTACTACTACTACTACTAGTACTCTTACTATCACTACTGTCACTGCTACTACTGCTACTCTGCTGCTGCTTGCACTGTATCTAGTTTATATACTATTTATTATTAACAACTCTTGCTACTGTTGCTCCTATACGACTGTTCCTACTGTTACTAGTACTACTAACTAGTACTAGTACGACCACTACTACTACTGCTACTACTACTACTACTACTAGTACGACTATCATTGCTACTACTACTACTACTACTACTACTACTATGGCCTCTTCCCCAAATGAATAAACTTTGGGAAATCGCCGGCTCGACACTGTATGCTTCTGATACTTCATTGCTCATTGCCACTACAACTGCTTCTGCTACCACTACTACTACTAGTACTAATACTACTAGTACTACTACTACTACTACTACTACTACTACTACTACTACTACTGCTACTACTAGTACTACTAGTAGTAGTACTACTACTACTGCTACTACTACTACTACTACTACTACTACCACTACTACTTCTACAACGACGACGACTACTTCTACAAGCTAGTCCTAGCACTGCTGGTGAGAAGACTGTGCTTATGAAAGCTCCAAGGAAACCTTCTACGGCGGATGACAAACCCTGGCTGCTGAATTGTCTGGCCGGTGGTCGGCAACGGCTTCAAGAACTGCTGGCTCGCTGGGCCACGGCTGTTTGGAAGGTTTCGTAGTCTAGTCGTAGTCATAGTACTAGTAGTAGTAGCAGTCGTCGTAGTAGTAGCAGTATCATTATTATTATTCGTGGCAGTAGTAGCAACAGCCGAAGAGTAATAGTAATAATAGCACTAGTAGTCGTAGTAGTAGTCTACTTGCAGTTGTTGTTGTGGGAGCACCAGCAGCAGCAGGAGTATGACGAGTGGCAGAGAAGTGCTAGTAGCCGTATTAGGAATACTTGTAGTAGCAGCCAGGAGGGAGTAGCCGTAGTAGTAGTAGTAGTAGCACTAGCAGCAGTAGTAGGTACTGGTACTAGCAGCTGTTGTTGTAGTAGCGGTGTCAGTGGTAGCAGTAGCAGCAGCAGCAGCAGGCTGAGAGGAATAGTGGTAGTAGTAGTACTAGTAGTAGTAGTACTAAGTAGTAGTAGTAGTAGCAGTAGTAGTAGTAGTAGTAGTAGTAGTAGTAGTAGTAGTAGTATTAGTAGTAGTGGTGTAGAAGTAGTAACAGTGGTAATAATGGCAGCAGTGCTACTAGTAGTAGTAGTAGTAGTAGTAGTAGTAGTAGTAGTAGTAGTAGTTGAAATAATAATAATACTAATAATAATAATAATAGCAGTGGGTAGTCTATAGTCTACTAGCACTGGCACGAGTTCGAGTAGTCGTAGTGGCAGCAGCAGTAGCGGTAGTGGCAATCATCATATGTATTCGTATGTTCTGCTACCATGACCATTTACTATAGCACTATCACCATCGCTCGATCATTGCGTACTCTTCGAAAACAGCTGTTTATCTTAGTTCTTGATATGTACTAACATTATATTGACTCTATTAATACCTAAAGGATTTGCTGCTCGCAACCCTACCATTACCATCGGCGACCTGGTGTAGGTTTAAACCATCAAGCGAGATCCTTAATTATTTGAAGGATTGCTTAGCCCAAATCCACCCCAATAACCTTCCTGAATGACTGAGTGCTTAGCAGTCCTGAAACCTAAGTTGCAAAACTTCTTGAAACTGCCATACCCTGAGCCAGCATTATAGCCTCTGACTCCAAAGCACAGACGATACCTGAAATGCCCAAAATCTCGGTACAATAAGTGAATATAAACTAACTAAATATAGACCGATCCCAACTAAAACCTAGCCTATCCTCAAATACTCCCACTCTTCGCTCACACCTTCCCCTGTCTCAGATTTCTCGCAGGAAACCAGACATCCTCCCGTCCCCTGGGAGTAAGACTCGAGGTACAGCACACGGGGGCGCCGGGCATCCAAGAGTAACTGCTGAAGTGGCACACCGAAGTTGACTCCATAGCTTTGCTGAAGCCTATGCAGGACCCCGGAAACATGAATATTAGTGACATTAGTATTAGTGACTCATAGACTATGTAGATTAGATCTCGGATCACAACCCGGGGCACCCCAGGCTAGGAACAAAATGCGGCCATTGGCCTGCCTGAATCTCAGGAAGCTACTACGTCGAAGACAACTTGGCATTTGCTGGGCGGCGACCTGTCGGCGTGGATACTCGGGTGTCCTGGCCGGCAGGGATCAATTGGGGTTGGCTGAAGAGAAACCGCAAACCAACCATAAGTACTGACTCGGGCCTCTGCAGGATACCTCAACGAATCCACCCATGTATCGAAGAGCTGCTTGCCCTTTATGGAGATCTTGTTGTAGAAGGACTTGGACACGGATAGATGCGAGGACAGCGGCCCTCGGCTACCATACTTGAAACAGGCAGATGGACGTGCGAACTGTAACAAACACACGGCGTAAAGGAATTTATGCTTCGGAGGCACCTTCCATGCCTGAGCATGCTTGCACGTCCTTCAAAGACAGCATATCCTCCTTGAGGAGCACAGCGATCCAGTTGTCGAAGTCAGCCCTAGGCGTGTTGGGGGGTTAAGGTCAGGGGCTTAGGGTCTAGGGTTTGGGGTTTGAAGGCTTGGACTGGTAACACGTAGGTTTTATTAGTGCTTGGGAGTAGTTCAATCCGACGAAGAGCAGCAAGTCGTAATGCGGTCGCAAGAAGCTGTTCCAAGCGAGGGGGTTTAGGGATTTGGGTTTTAGTAAGATGACTACAGTCGAGTATTTAGGGGCTTAGGGTTATTCTATTGAAAATGATTATTACTTAATTAAATGGTAATGAGTCACTGCGAGACCGTCTGCGGGATTGTTTTCAGAAGGTCGTCATCCAACTTGGACTTCTGGGCAGCGAGCTTGGGAGGCAGGGCATTCAAGAGCTGCTCCTTGGAGGGGGCCTTCTGCAAGACCTTGTAAGGGCCTGTGAAGATATCCTCATCGTCGTCGTCGTCGCCGTCCTCCTCGTCCTCTGCATCATCATTGTCAATCATCTCGGAGTCGGGCTGGGAAGCCTGCTCGTCGTCGTCCTCTGGCTCCGGCTCTGGACTGCTGAAGGCGTCCGACGGAGGAGTCGGCACATGCGGATCGAGGAGCTCGCCGTCGCCGTCGCCGTCCTTGTCCTTGTCCTTTTTCTCTGTTCGCTCCGTCTTGTCGTTGTCATCATCGGACTCCTCCTTGGGAACCACGAGCTTGGCTTTCTTCTTGGGTGGGCCCTCTGGCTTCTTCTCAGACTTCCTTCGCTTTTTCTTCGCACTCTTCGGCTCGGCAGTCGCCTTGGCTTTGCCCGGCTTTCCCAAGCACTTCTTCAGATCTTCGCTGGCTTCCTGGAGGGTAGAAAGTGATCTTGTATTGTTTGGAGACATGAGACACAACGGCGTCGAAACTGCCCTTGATTGATGACTATGGCACAGCAACTTGGTTCTGAAAACAATCTGCCTCACGAAGGCGAACCATGGTCTGCTCGATCTTCTCGGCGAACGTAGCCCGGCTGTCTTTGTTCTTCCTGCAACAGTAGGTTTCTGTTGCTCAAACAGAAGTGTCGATCTAAAGAGCAACTGCAGAATTGAATCCGGACACATGCACAGTTGGCTCTGCCTCTGCTTTCGCTTGCACAGCAGTCTCGAAGCCGCACTGCAATCCATCAAGGACTTGGCCGAGCACAAGTTCACAGACGATGGCGAGCGATCACAAACTTGGCTGCACAATGGGCGGGCTGGTTTACGTATGTGTTAGCTGGTTGCATAGGGGGGTGCTGATTAGCTCAGAGTACGATCACAATGCTTCGGGCACAGGAGGCCAGAATTCGCACATACCGAAAAAGCGAAACATTCAAGGATTTAGTCACTTGGCTTGCACGGTACGATTGGTGCGGGTTTAGATTAGACTAGACATATTATATTTCCATTTTCAGGGTTTTCTGGTATTACTCGAACAACTTAATTTCATTTAGTCTAAATTAAAGAACCACAAAGTATATTCATATTCATTCAGCATATTAATTGTCGATTAATTAAAACACAGACAAAGGCTCGCAAATTATGATTCACCCCAACTCCCAGCCCTTACTTGAAGACTACACAAGGTACAATCCCGAGAGGCGACAAACCCTATGATTGTGTGTATTTGTTCCATTCGTTGTCAGGATTGAACCCACAGCTACTAAGATTCGTGGCTGCATGCATACAATAATAGTAGCCGATCGCTGCCGTACACGATTATAGCAATAAGTTTGGGGATTCATAAATAAAACGGGACGATTGTCAAGTTAGGACAGGGTTTGGAGAGATAACGACAACAACCGCACGGCAATTGCTGCTCTGTTCTTTAATGGGCCCTGCTTCCCTTAGTGTCTGCATTCCCCATCACTAAGCCAACACGGAGCCCCTACGAACGATAAGTTCTCAGCGGGCCTGAGTGCTTGTCACTGCAAGGAATAGCTGCGTGAAGCAGGCGATGGAAGCAACAACAAATTCACTATTTATGGCATTGCATATGGCTTGTGTATAGCACATTTGCCTAGTTTTATCTGCTGCTTGTCTGTTTATTGCCCATACCAGCAGAGCCCGGTAACGGATATTCCAGAACCACGAGCCTGCTTTGCGAAGCGACTGAATAATTCTGCAGGCCCCAAAACTGAAGGAATGGCAACACCAGACCAACAAATGGGCCCGACACCCGCCCAAATCCTGAATGCTAATCACCTCAAGAACAAGGATCGGGTGCTCAGCAGCGATGCCAGTCGCTTCTTCCAGACCGTCGCCGCCGTCTTGGCCTGAGCAAAGGTTTTTAGGGCGATTCGGGTCAACACTTCAGAAACGAGCGACTTCGCGAAATGAGGATTTGAACTACAAGCTTTCTCTTCAGTCAGACATCTGCTTGTGCCGTGCTCGCAAAAAGGTCCAGCCTCGAAGAGGGCACTGTTGTGCTCTGCCCCATGCTTGTTCCGCTTCGCCGTGCAAGCACGATCAATCAGCAGGCCTTCCTAGGTATAGGTCAACGGAACCCGCACCAGCTCAAAAACACAAAGCTCAGCATGATATCATATGTGGCGGGCAGCATAGAACAAATTGAGTTGAGGAGCCAGCTCGCCACCGAGCTCAAAAAACATCAGACGGGGCCACTGCCTCGAGCACATTCGCCATCACGAAACCCAACTGGCGACAGCTCAGATCGTCGAGTCGAACAGCTGTGCTCGGGCGGGTCAAATCCTTCTTCACGAGGCCAAACAGCGAAGCACAGTCGTCCAGCTCCAGATCGCTCTTCTCGGCGGACGAGCTCTCCTCCGAAGGCGAGGAAGTGCCTCGGATAGATATGGATGCCAACAGCTGCGATAATCAATAGCCAGGGTAAAGGGGCTTTATTGTGGTGGAGCCGAGCGGCTTTTCCTGGACTTCTTTTTCTTCTTCTTGCCGTCCTTCTCTTCTTTCTTCTTCTTTTTGTTCTCCTTCGGCTTGACAGCCTTCTCATCATTTGCACCTGAGCCGAATGCATTAACAATGTTCCAAGGCTGATAGATATTGTGCTAGTTATGAAGCAGGACTCGTCGCTTGGGCCTGGAGGCTAAGAAGTTTCCAATACAACTCCAAACAATGACCCTGTAGTGATGTGCTTCTAGACTAGATAATTGCTTCAGACATATACCCTCCTCGCAAACTCCAAAGCCCCTCATAGAGAAAGACCCCTAGGCATTGCAGTCTATCATCAGTACTCCAAACAATAACAAGCGACTGGCGAACACCTGATCCAACGATCTGCGGGCCGTGTTCATTAAGAAGCTCATGGCCGGCGTCGAATCCTCGGGTGCCGAGGTGTCCGCTGCAAGAGCAGCCGAACCCAGCGAGCGGTTGGAAGCCGTCCTGTGGCCGTTCCGAATCGGTTTGATTGAGAGCAATTATGCAAAGCCCCCTCCTCCTCACTCTCCGGCTATCCAAAGCCACCATCGCGAAGGAGGCCCGAAGAAAATCCACCCAGGACTCAAGTAGACAACGGGACCCTTTGTGCCCCTAAGCCCTAAGCCTTTGCACAAGCAATGCCAGCAACAAACTTCGCTCGAGATAGCAGGCGGTCAAGCAAACCGTCACGGGCAAAAGCGTGGTTCTGTTCATTTGCCGGTGTGTGTATGTATGTATGTATGTATGTATGTATGTATGTATGTATGTGTATATATATATATGTAGCATGTATGTATGAATACAGAAATACAAGAATATAGAAATACATATACATATGTCTGTATGTATGTACATGTATGTGTTTATGTCTGTGTGGGGCTGTAAGTGCCCGCTTGTGAGTGTGTGCGTGTGTGTTGTGTGTGGGGGGGGGGGCGTGTGCTTGTGTGTTTATCAATGTCGATGTGTGTGCGTGTGATTGTGTGTGTGTGTCCAGCAACATGCATGTCCATGTATATTGATAAATGCATGCACATGTGTCTGTCTCGGTGATGGTATGACTGCTATGTATGCTGCAACACGACAGAATCCCTCCTCCAGCCGACATCCTGGGCACAGCAATGAAAGTGTTTTCCAGTGGCTCGAAGTCCCCGGGGGCCAAGCTTCACAAGTGAGACGGTGCAAGGACTGCGAGCTGAGCTATTGCATTATGAGATGATTTAAAAAGGCACTAAGATCCCTAGCCTTAAACAAAAGCCACACATATTCCTATAGTGTCCCAATAAGAAGCCCTTGGTTAGTCTTAGTCTACAATAATCTAAATTAATGAACCCTCCCAGGGACCCCCAAACATAAATACTGAAACTCCTCAGCTTTGCCGCCGCGGCACCATCGATCGATCCAGCATAAGTAAGAATCATCCATCATGAAATCAAAGGGCCACCGATAATTTGTCATATTTGTTGTCGTTGCCCTCAAACATGAATTTTAATTGAAGCCAGCACATCCTGGAAACAATGTGGGACCGAATCATGCGGATTCAGAACCATGCTGGTCTATTGGCAACTGACAACTCTTGCCCCTACCTTGTGTCAACCAAGCATCGGAGGCTGTCCATCAGCCAAGCAGTTCCCAGCCGTCTGCCTGTGCAAACACACTTCCATTGACATCGGAGAATGTTAATCCAAGGTGACAACGATTTATCCTGCCGTCCCAGCCTGCACCCACACAAGTTACAGCAACCCGGGGCCCAAGCCCTCCTAGTGGAGCCGAATCAGAACAGACACGAAATGAATGCAGCAGCGACACTGCTCCACCAGGAGCAGCCGCCACAGGTGGCACCGGAGTGGCCGCCACACCCGGTGCAGGAGCAGCCGCCAAAGGCGGCACCGGAAGTGCCACGAAATAATCTTCATCCTCCAGGACACGACAGTAGGCTAGAAAGTGAATCAAGCCAAAACTCAGGCGTCAACAGAACAACCTAAAACTAGATCCCGGCCTCGAAAAGCAAATCGTGTGCGACATTTCGCTTCTTCAGGAGAATAGACGGGCCCGGGATTGGACGGAACCATCCGTCCAAGTCCTCAGGCTGAAGAATCGAGCCCTGCTTGGCACACCATGTGAATCACTTCTGTTATTGGCACCGGGTGGCTTGATCGACAAGATTCTTCGCCACAGCATCAAGGAGACTGGGCCAGTTCACTGACCCCAGATCGGTTCGCTGATGGCGTAGCATGACCAAGTCCACGACCTCGGTTGCGATTTCTTTGCTTTGATACAACGAATGTAAGTTGTTCACACAAGCTTCTCCCCCCAGCTTGGTCAAAACAGTCGGATCGGGCTCCGATGCCGACTTCATCAGTTTGAACCTGAGTCGGCGAAAATGATGAAGGACTGGTTTGATGGAAGGACGTACCAAAATTTAAATCAAGCGGCATTGGTCTCATACGTCCGGCCATATACTTGATGCCCTTGATGATCAGGGGGTCTGTCCCAACGAGAATCGTGGGTAGGGGAAGGTAGGCACCGAATGACATCATACTGAATGCCGTCACACTGGCTTTCTCCTGAAAACAACGATTCAGAATGCTGCAGGCTTCGGGCAATCACTACTATGCAGTGCCCTGCAATCCCAAGCAGTCCTCCAGCCGAAGTCGCTCAAACAAAGAGCTCATCCGTTGTGGATATTGTACCACAAAGCGTACTTTGATCGCAGCACATAGCTGCATCAGGCATAGAACGATTTCCTCAGGCTCGCTTCCTTACTACAGGTATGCCTCAATCCCCAATCAGGCAGACAAGTCTCGATGATCGCACCCATTTGACCATGAGAAATGTCTCTTTCTCGGCACGGCCTCCCAAGCGAGAAAACGCGAGCTGTACATACATCAACATGACCGAACGAGGGCGATATTGCATCGAGGCACAGGCAGACGTAGAGCAAGCCACCCACATAAACTCGAGAAAGCATTTGCAAACCTCGAGGAAACTGCTTTCACCCAAATACTTACATGTACATTGATGAACACCAACAGGCTGCAAGCGAGAAGCACAGGCTCGGGTCAATCAGGAGCTTCTGAGTCTCCAGGTAGGCAGCCGGCAATCCTTCCTGAGCAAAGGACCCATTAACGATTTTGAAGTAATGAATCAAAACCTGAAAGCACACACTCACACACAGAAAAAACAAATCAAGCCAAAGGTCGCGGGTGAAAGCTTCATGCATGATGGCCGAACCGATGATCAGGGTCTGAAGAAAGCGTTGTTGCCTATAATATACGGATGTCAACGAATGGTAGGAGTCTTCAAGCACCCAGTCGCAGCATTGCCGCACACGGTCGCGGAGACCATTGTTCATCATATCTAATGAATACAACTTGTCTGCGATGTTGGGTTATGGTGCATGTATTAGCACTTGGCAGCCTATGTCGGACCGCTATCGGAGCCTGAAGCTCATCTGAAACATCTGAAACTGCCCATTTAAATCAACCTCAGGCATATCTGATCTACACTTTTTGCTCTTTGAATGCTACATATCAGCCATGAACCAGAACATCGAGTGAGCACGATGCAAGCTTGAAAGCACGGTCGGAGAGCGGGCACGTGTTCCGCCACCCTTGACTTGGACGGTCCGTGTGTGCGCCTTGGACGGTCCAAACCTTCAGCCTAGACCGTCCAAGGTACACGCGCCTAGGCCGCATCCGCAACCGGAGAAAGCTGTGGTTGAGAACTTTTTTCTGAATCGGAAAGTGCTGAATCCCTAGCAAAAAACAATGAATTGGAAGCCATGTGTGCGCCTTGGACGCGGGAAAGGCTGTGCGCAGGCGCGTGCGCCTTGGACGCGGGGACGCGTGCGCCTTGGACGTGCTGGCCGCAATGAGAGAGGGTCGTTTGGGGGGGTAGAGAGCTAAAGAAGGGGATGGGGAAACAGTAGAGGTGATTCTTAAGGTTTTGGTTTTGGTTTTAATGGGGTTGTATGGTTTTGAAAAAAGCCGCATAGCTGTAGTGCTCGAACGTAGTCTGACCCTCACAACAAGCCTTGAACTTTATCCCTAAACCCTAATTTAGGATCAAACCGATGGGAACCCCCCATGAGCCCGAACCTCGCACCTACCCCGCCGAAATCCGCCGAACCCCCCCCAGGTTCGCCGAATCCCCCTCCATTTATGACTTACTATTATACGATTATTAGTCTAATACTAATAATACTGTTATCACTCTTAGGAACTATTACTATTCCTATTACCATTTGTGGTTATTACTTACTGTACTATTACTAGTCTAATACTATTAATACTCTATTGTCACTCTTAGCTATCATTGCTGTTCCCATTGGTTTGGGCTTAAGGGTTTAGTAGGGGTTTGGGGTTCCGGGCTTACGGGGCTTAGGGGTTTGAGGTTTTGGTGCTAGGATTTCACTGCCGGGGCCGAAATCTTAGTGGTAAGAGACACTAGTTCAGTTGAAACCCTGAACAACCGGACTTAAACCCTAACCTCTCTTAATACTCCAGCAAGCCCTCTTATTAATTGCTATCCTGAAACCCATTCTACTAGTCTACCCCAAAGTTGAAAGGTTGGGTTCACGGCCACTAAGACAACCAATTCTAAACCCAAATGGAAATTACAGCAGCTCACTTGCGATATTATAGTAATTTTAATAGTAACAGTGATCAGAGCCACAAATGGCAAGCGAAAGTTGCAAGAACGCTGAACCCCGAAGCCCCCAAACCCCTAAGCCCCGAACCTCAAACACCAAAACCGTCAACCCTATATCCGTACCCACCCTTCTCCAACCCTAAACCCTAAAACCCTAAAGCTTTACCCTAAAGCCCCCAAACCCTAAAACACTCCTGCTCGCCGACTCCGACGGCCTTCTGCGTCCCGCCGCAGCCTGAGGGGTTTAAAAGTTTAATTAGGTAGTTAGTGGTTACCCTAAGCCCGGTTGACCCCCCCAGATAAGCTGCTGCATCGTCTGCACTGGGTTCCATTGCCGGTTCTTCGTGAGCCTGGCTTTGGTTCCCTGCTCGTCTGCACTGGGTTCCATTGCCGGTTCTTCGTGAGCCTGGCTTTGGTTCCCTGCTCGGTCTGGCGGAGGCGGTTCTTCGTGAGCCAGCCTCCAGCCGACCGAGCTAGGGCTTCGGAGCCGGTTCTTCGTGAGCCAGGCTCTGGAGTCCTTCGGTCTGGCTCGTTGCCGGTTCTTCGTGAGCCAGGCATCGATGCCGACCGAAAATTGAAAATTCAGCTGCCCTCGCCTGAGCTTTGGACTCTTGGTCAGGCTCGTTGCCGGTTCTCCGTGAGCCAGGCTTCGATGCCGACCAAGAGCTCCATTGCCGGTGAAGGGACTGAACTCAAGGCTCCCTGCCGCTTCTGCGTGACCCAGGCTTGGATGCCTATCCCTGCCGGTTCTGCGTGAGCCAGGCTTGGATGCCTATCCCTGCCGGTTCTGCGTGAGCCAGGCTTGGATGCCTAGGGTTTTTTGGATTCCCCCGAGCCTGAGGCCAAAACCCCTTTTCGGATTCGGGATTTGTATTCAATCCTTACTCCACCCCTACTTAAAATTTAAGCTGTTCAGGGTATTTGGGCTGGATTCGGTTTCGGGGCGGCTTTCAAGCCTTTGGGGTTTCTCAGGTGCTTGGGTAGTCTAATCCGTTTACTTTCGGAAGTTGTGGCTGAGGCCTGACCACATGTCGATCCGGCTTCATCGTCATCGCAGCCATCGCGGCTGGTGCCCCAGGCAACGACAATGCATTCAGCCATCATTTCGCTATCTCATGCGAGGCCTGACCTTAGATGATTGGAGGCTGAAATGCAGGGTGCTCGGCTACTGACTGAATTCTCAGAGTTTGATTCTCTTTTTTGTAGGCATTGAAGCAGTAGGTGCCATGAGTGATCTCAGGCCTGAGCCCAAAAGCAATGCAATCAACCTATCAAGATGGAGCCCTGGCTGAGGCTTGACCTGGATGTCGGTGCTGCGATGCCGACAACTCAGACTCAGCAGGTTTGCAGACCTTCGCGCATTCTTGGCACTTTTACTTTTACTCGTCCTGAGGCTTGAGACTGACTGTGGCGGCATGGCATCACGGGAGCTCCATCTCCGAGGACTGCTCCCTGCCTGCCGTTCGCCTTTGTCGGAAGCACACATGCTTGAATGAATGTGCTCGCTGTGCGTGCTGCAACTTTTTTTGATCAGACATGTCGTGTCATTGGACTCATGCCATGATGGCTGCCTTGGTGGCTGCCTGAAGCATTCACTCAGCATCGACATCACACCATGCCCGCCCGGACAGCACAGCACTTCATCACATGACATTGGACATATCACAGTCACAGAGCCCTATAATTAAAGGGCTTCCCAGCTCCTGAACCCCCGGCTCCTGCCTGAAATGGCGTCGTCATCATCCAGCTCTTCGAGCTCCTCCTCGTCGTCTGAGTCTCGTCCAAGGCTGGTTTCGGCTCTGCTTTGTATGGTCTAAGCTAAATCTTGGCCTTGTGTGAGGGTGGAACGAAAGAATCAAAGAAGCCAAATGCACGGAAACGTGCACAAAAGAGGCTGAATGCCGAGGCGGGACTTTCATAACTCGGTTGGCCGTTTTCATTTCTTTATGTCTGTGTCGAGGCTGACAAGGTCGCCGAGGATCTTCTGAAGCCGCCTGAGGCGGGATGTTCGCACTTCCATCTGTCTTTAGCCCTTAGCCCGGTCAGGTGCCCCCGCCCAAGAAGGAGGCTGACACATCCAGGAAGAGCCAGGGCGAGGCGGGACTCGTGTACCGATTTCTTTTGTCGTCCTTAGCCTAATCATAAACCCCTGTGCCAGGAGAAGAAGCAGAAGGTGGCTGCCAAGGAGAGCTCCAAGCCTGAGGCGGGATTTTCGTATTTCGTGAGCAGCTGTCATTAGGTCGGACTGCCAGGAGAAGAAGCATGCCAAGGAGAGCTCCCAGCCTGAGGCGGGATTTTCGTATTTCGTGAGCAGCTGTCATTAGGACTTAGCTAATAATAATTAACCCGGCCAGGTCCATCCGAAGAAACTTCCGAAGGAGCACTCGAGGGCTGGACTTGCGTGAGCATTCATGTGGCCTTAGCCTTATTCTGAGAACCCGGGCAGGACGACAAGAAGGCGGCTGAGAAGGCGGCGGAGAGCTCGTCCAAGAAGGCCTTCACCCTTGGAAAGTTTCAATCTCGTCTCCGTCAATCGCAGCCCGGCCAGGCCAAGAAGAGCAAGGATGAGGAGGCTCAGGGGAAGGCTGAAAAGGAGAAGAAAGAGAAGAGGAATGAGAAGAAAGTGGAAAAGGAGGCTTTAAGCTTTGCCGCTTAAAATAAAAAGCCACAATCTTTGGTCCTTAAACCCGAGCCCGGCCAGGTTGCCGAGGTGAAGCCTGACAAGAAGACAGAGGCCCGTTTTTCTTGCAGTAATCACGAAAGTCTTAAAGCCGAAGCCCCCGGAGGACAAGGCGAAGACCTCGGAGCCCTCCTCGAGCAGCAAGCCCATCGTGACTGAGGCACGTTTTTTGACACATTGGCTCGAGCATTGGTCCTGAAAATCATTATAACCTGCCTGCCCAGGCTGAGACTCAGACTGAGGGAAAGGGAAAGGGCAAGGAAAGGACAAGTCCCCTAGCAAGGGAAAGGGCAAAGGCAAGGCCAAAGGGTCGAAGAAGAAGAAGAAAGATAAAGGAAAGAAGAAGGATAAGAAGGAGAAAAAAAGCAGAAGAAAGAGAAGAAGGATAAGAAGGAGAAGAAAGAGAAAAAGGAGAAGGAGGACAAGAAAGAGAAAAAGGAGAAGGAGGACAAGAAAGAGGCTGAGGAGAAAAAGAAGGAGACTGGACAGACTCTGAACTGTGTTTGCATTATCAATGTGCATTACCAATCCAGTTGCAGGAGGATGACTCCTTCGACAAGATGCTGGAAGATCGGCTGAAAGAGCAGTCGTTCGATTCGTTGCTGGGCCTCTTTACCCGTCGGGCCACACTGCTGGTTACCTTGAAGGACCAGGTGAAGGCCGGTTCCGCCGATGTTGCATTGTCATTTTATGTCACTGTGAACTTCTCTCCGAGTGTCCTGCCTGCCGCCAGCATGCCCTGGACCGCTTCGCTTCGGGCTTTCGAAGTTCTACTGCCCCAAGCCGAACAATGAGGTGCACCGCCTCGAGCTCATGTCGGTCACTTGGCCGGCCATGATGTTATTTTAACAGTGTATGCGACATGTTCGGCACCGATGATAAGTTTAAAACTTGACATCACTCAATCAGCCAAGGCTTTGCGCTACGAAATCGTGCACCAAGAAGCCCAGCTGCTGTGGTGGTTGACGAACCATGAGGTTGACTTCCACAAGTGGTCTCGACCGCTTGGGAATTGCCTCCTCGTGGAGCCTGAAAAGGTGAAGCCTGAGGTTGCACTTAGGCGGCTTCCACCGTTGCCACCACCTCCCTCAGGGATGGCGGGCACGTTTCTTGTTACCCCGCGTGGCATGGTTTTTCAAAGACCTTAGCCTGATCTCTGGCCACTGACTGATGACTGATTAAGAGCATACTACAGTTTAGTCAGACTTGGCAAAACTTCAATCAAACCATGGCTACTTTAAGCTGCGGGCTGTGCTTGTGGCCAGTGGTCGGAGAAGCCAAAAGGCATTGCCTGAGGGTCATTCAGGCTGATCCTGGTCGTACAGCTGCAGCGAGCAGTGACCAAAAAAGAGCTGACTGACTGTCACAACTTTGCCAGCTTTTTTGCAATAACGTGCACAGAGCCATGACTGCTTTTGGGAAGGACTCCTCCTTCTGTTTCGTCTGGGCAGCTGCGGCCTGAGCATACCGGTGCCCCTGCAGTGCCAGGAATCGGACATCCATGAACATCTGGTTCAGGTTTCGTGATCATCTTTCACTTTGCCTTCGGTTCCTCTGGCTTTGGACTTAAATACCCTGCCTCCCATGACTGCCCACTTGATACACGACAGGTCCCGGATGCCTGACCATGTGGACGAGCTGCCGTCGTTGCAGAGTCTGTTGGGGACCCGGTCAAGTGGATTCGCCAGCCTGGATTTGGGCATGTGTTTGATGCCATGCGTGCTGCCTTTAACTTTATTCCTGTGTGCTGTGGATCAAGATCACATGGCAAGCCAGGGTTGTGGCAGCTTGCAGGTCTGATTTATGAATGTTGGGTTAAACCCTTAGGGTAGGCTACCAAAACTTTTGGTAGGAGAACGGCTGAGCCTCGCCGCCATGGCACTCACGGAGCAGGAGAAGGACCATGCTCTATGGGCAAGCCTGATGCGGAGGCTTGCCATGGAGGATAAGATGAACATCAGTGCTTTGCCTCGTCGCTCGGCTGAAGTCTGAAATGTAAACTGACCATGGCCAATGACTTCCTGCCTTACTTAGGCAGACCACCGCGGCTTGACAACCAGGTCTTTGCTTTGTCCCAGTGGTACGACGAGCATGAGGCTGAGGCCGACCGGGCAGCAATCCGGCTGCATCTTTAGTGCCCTCTGGTCCGAGTCCGATGTGAAGCACCATGCTGAAAGGCAAGGGCGAATGCTAAGGTGCACTCTGTTTTGCATGACCGTGCGCCTGACCTCCTCTGGGTTTGCTGCAAGTGCGGCGTCGACATGGCAGCCAAAGCTGAGTCTCGGCTGCAGCTACAATGACAATTAAATGTGATGTGCCAGCATGCGAAAAGTTCCAGCGGTGCATGTTGCATCCAAGGGCCTGGTCTCATTGCTGCTGCACCCGCACCCGCATGCCCCGGCGTATGCTCATCGAACCACCGTCCTTCTGACACGTGGCTCGTCTTTCAACTTTGGGGGGTATCTTTTCTGGAAGCTGTTCATTGCCTGAACTTCAGGCGAGTGGGTGTGGGACAGCAGCTTCACCAACGTCACCGCCTCCAAGTTGGTGATGAAGCACGTCAGGGAGAAACTTGTTGGCTGCATAGTAAACTTTTCCATTTTCGGGGTTCTTGATAACTAATGTAGTCGATTCTGACACTTTCAACTTTTATTCCCTCACTGAGGAAGTCTGACTGGCTTCAGACGGAGCACTCCTCATGGAGGAAAATTCGCCAAAGCGTCCGAGATCGCACAGCTGGAGAAGGCCGCCGTCCAATCCCGGATCCGAGAGATCCGTGGTCGTCTGACAGCAATGGCCAGTCTGAGAACGAGACGGGGGCCGCTGGGACCGTGCCTGCTGACACGGGCAGCACCAGTGCACGGACTGCCGAAGCCGCCCCATGGAATGACCCAACAGGGCAAGGCGGGGAGGCATCCTCCACGACATGGACGTCTGAGCAGCCGTGGACGTCTGAGCAGCAGTGGTCGTCTGACAATCAGCAGTGGACGTCTGAGCGGCAGCAGTGGTCGTCTGACAATCAGCAGTGGCACGGCTCGGGCTGGCGTTGGCGATCCTCGTCTCAGTGGCAGGAGGAGGACGGCGACGAGGACGAAGATTCCAGGGCATGGGCCTGACTGAGTCTGAGGCTGCCTGATGACTGAGGGGTGAGTGGTCTTCCGCCTGAGAAGAGAAAAACGGGCTTTGCAGTGCGGGCGTGTACTGACTCACTGAGTACTGCGTCTGACATGCATTGTGAGAGTTGCCGTGCCCGAGGTTGGGTCGGATGTCATGCTCGGCGATGGCCTCTCGCTCAGACGGGCATGTCCACATGTGCAGCTGCCTGGCCTGATACTTTTGTTTTTGTCAGGGCACAGCACGACTTCCTGGTGGCATTGGGCAGGCGAGTCTTACTTATCTTGTTCTTGATTACAAGAAGCATTTTGCATCCGGAGGAGCTGGCCTGACATTGGATTGGGAGGGATACGTCGACTGAGACCAGGCCTTGAACTCAGATGCCTTATCACTGGTCGCACCTGTCACACTGTCTAAATTGCTGTTGCTTCCGTACTTCTCGTCCAGTTGTCGATTGAAATGAATCCTTGTCAGTTGTGTCACATGCGGACTTTCTGGCACACGTGGTCTTGGCCGAAGTTGGAATCATCTTTGCTCATGCCATGACTGCTGCTGCTGCCGCCACTTGACTCCGGTGCTGTTACTGGTGCTGCTGCCGCTTGGGGGGGGGTCACCGGCGGACGGGGCCAAACCTTGGAAGAGGGGGCTGCACGGAACTAGTGAGACCAGCCTTTCAACTCAGACACTTGTCGCTGGTCGCACACTTGATGCTTCTGCACTTGTTGAATTCAATTCCTGGACTCCTCGTTGTAACATGTTTCTTTACCGAAGCCTGATTCCGGACTTCGTGGCACGTGCGGAATCATCTTTGCACATAGACGACTGCTTCTGCTTCTGCTGCCGCCGCTTGACTCTGCTGCTGCTTGGGGCCGGGCGGAGGCAGTTCGGGTTCGGGGCTGCGTTTGTTCTTTGTGCTGATTCGCTGACCCACCGTGGCCCCCACCGTCACACCTGCAGGGCTACTAGCCTGCGGTCTGCCAATGGCGGCAGACAATGAGGGGGGGGGACCTGTCATTGTCCGGTGGAGTTATTGCCGGAGCATACCAGGTCATCGGAAGCTATGAATCTGCAAGTATGGGATAAGCCTGCGGCGTGGCAGTGGCGGGACCCAGAAAGGCAGAAACTTCCGACCCCCTTCATTTTGGCGGAACCCACCTTGGCCGAGTGGGGGTGAATCTGTCTGGCATTCTCGGGCAAACACCGGTGTTTGAAAAGACCATTGGGGAGGCCGCCTAGTCGTCTGTCTGATTGACTTGCTTGCTTTCGTGGCGTGTTTTGTGCTGTGGCCCTTGCGGTTGGAGGCGGAATTGAGCATGCCTGGCGGGTCTACTCTTATGTATCAAACTCGATCCCAGCATGTTGTAGCCATCAGGGCAGAAGCCTGCTGAGGTGAGGGGATTCTACTTGATTGACCGTTTCATTTAATAATCTGCTGTCATGTCTTGCATCGTGGCCATGCATTGCTGCAATCGAACGAAATCCAGTGGCAAGCAAACAAATCGAAAGCTAGAAAGATGTGTAATTGTCGCTGCAATCATTGGCTACCTTCAGTGCAGCACCTGTACGTGGAATTATAGGGTTCTACTATGCAGTCGTTATTCATAAAGGAAAGAATTTAAAAATAGTAACTTGGTATTTCAGTCATAATTTCTATTAGATTCAGTGCAATTACGGCTGTCTTCAGTGCGGCATTGTTGCACTGGAGACGAAGTATAATGCACCGAAGACAGATTCCACTGTGTAGTGTAACCAGTGTAACATGTTAATAGTAGATTTGTATTCAGTGCAATTACGGCTCTCTTCAGTGCCGCATTGTTGCACTGAAGACGAAGTGTAATGCACCGAATACAGATTCCAATATGGAGTGCAATATTATTTTATCACTATTCAATGAATTACGACAAAGCGGATCCCTATGCAACGACGGCTACCAGCTATGCTATGGACATTAGCAATATATTAATACTATTGGATTTGTATTCAATGCAATCAGAGTTGTCTTCAGTGCAGCAGTGTTGCACTGAAGACGAATTATTATGCACCTAATAGAAACTCTAGCAGGGAGTGGAATCATTGTAATCCATTAGGAGTGGGTTTGTATTCAGTGCAATTACAGCTGTCTTCAGTGCAGCATTGTTGCACTGAAGACAAAGTATAATGCACCTAATACAGATTCCACTATGGAGTGTAACTAGTGTAGTATTTCAAAATGGATTTGTATTCAGTGCAATTACAGCTGTCTTCAGTGCAGCATTGGTGCACTGAAGACAAAGTATAATGCACCTAATACAGATTCCATTATGGAATGCAATTAGTGTTTTATATTTGTTTATAGATTTCAAATGCAATTGCGTGCATGTAACAAACACTCTAGCTG